TATATATATATATATATATATATATATATACACACACACACACACATTTTATGGTTAATACAGTAACCATAAAATCAAAAAAAGTTTGGCTTGCTTTTCATAGCCTTCCCTTTTTTTCCATTGCAAAAACCAACCAATTTATTCTGTCTCATTTCAGTATGGATTTATCCAGAGATGAGCACACGTTTTTTTCTGCAACATATTATGCAGCTTGCATGTTTTAATTTTGATTGAAGCCAATCAAAAAATGTGAGACACTGTGTCAACATGTGCAGCATGGAGACAAGCATTTAAAATGCTGTGCAGTCCCACATAAAGTGGGACACCTGTCAGTATTCTGAAGAAAATTTTAAATTATAGCTAATTATGAATAAACAGCTCAGAATTCAATAGTGAGCAGACATTTAATATCAACAGTTTGAAACTTTTCACTCAATGTATTGAGGTTCAACACCCAGACACTATCTGGATGGTAGGAAAACAGAAAAGAAGCTCAAATAAAGGCAGCACATTGTTCTTGTCCTCTGGGACAGACAGCTGGCACTGATCTCCGGACTGTCCTATGCCTCACAGAGCCGCCAGCTCCTGCATTAGCTTCTCCTTCTCCCGCTGCAGCTCCAAGATGCTCTGCTGGTTCTGCTCCAGCCGGTCCTCCAGCCACTGCAGCAGCGGCCCGCTCACCGCCGACATCTGGCTGCACAGGTTCTTGGTGAACACAGAGCCGTTGTGGATCTTGGTGACGGGGTCCAGGTGCGCCAGGCTGTGGATCTTGCGGTAGGTGTCCTGCTCCTCCTGGCACAAGATCCTCGGCAGCTCCACGGCCGACTCCAGGCACACCTTTCCGATGGCCTCGCGGGGCAAGACGTGGATGGGGATCTCCACACGCTCGTACTCGGAGCCCTTCTGCGCCTGCACGGACTGGAAGCAGGTGTAGAGCACCCGACCCGTCTTAGTGTTCTTGTCCTCGATGAAGCAGGAGAAGATGAGGCCCACGAAACACTGATCCAGCATCTGGTACATGGCCTGGGTGCGCACGTCGACGTGGGAGGGCCACACGGTGATGTGAGGGTGGGAGTGGTACCAGCCGACCACCCGCATCGGCCGGCTGGTCATGTCTGCCAGCCGCTCCGCCTCCGTGGAGGCCGCCGACAGCTGCTCCGGGGAGATTTCCACCCGGTCTTTCCTCTTGTCGGAGCGGCGGAGGATGATGACGGAGTGGATGTGGACAATACGAGAGACCTCCACCTCCCCGATACACAGACCCATCACCTCCTCCTTCTCTGTGCTCAGCGCGTGGTTCATGCACACCAGAAAGGCGTCGGACTCCAGGTGGACTGCGCTCACCGCCATTACTTTCCCTTAAATTCGGTAAAAGGGGGAAAAAATAAACAAATCCGAGAGACACTGCCGTACTTCCGCGTTCTTACATTCTACGCCAAAACATTCCGTGTAAGTGCAACAGCCCTCTTACACAAGGGTTCCGCCTTTCGGTACCTTTATTTTATTATCACGATTAACTAATGACGCACTCCATTGTACAGTTAATAATATCTGCGGAGGTTATATGCATAGAATTGTTACGGTAAATTAGGGCTTCTAAAGCTTAATAAATGCGACCTAGAAAATGTCGGAAATATATTTTTTTCTGTCACTTTCAATATGAAGGTTCCCACTCCAGCAGCTTAATGTTTTAAAATTCTCAACTGACGATTGAAAGAAAAAAAGAAAAGAAAAACAAAACGTCAGATATTCATTCATTCTTTATTTCTTGCTGACATTTTTTGTCTTTCGAAACATGATTCACTGCGAAAATTGACACCTGTGTGGAAATTGACTTTTTCAATTTAGGCCATTGTTCTAAATGCAGTTTCTAAATCAAGAAATATTGTATTTGCTCCTATCAATAATCCAATGTGTAATACTAGGTTATTTTTATAAAGACTATATTAAAAACGGAAGGCCCAAGGCAGAGACCATTGCAGCCAATCAACCCCTGACCCTGAAAAATGAATCCAATGCGCCTCAAATAATCCATATTCTTTGTAAGATAGGTGCATTAAAATGCTCGGTTAGCTTAATTAGTTCAGTGGCTCCCACTAGTAGAGTAAAGCCTTGTAGACACCTAACACCGGCAGCTCCCTGGGCCATAGTCATACCGATCATTCAAAGTGGCCACGCTTCTAATTCCACGTATTAACCAAATGCATGACTTATGCAAGAAGAATCACATTACAGTTCTTTAAGAATATGAACTGAGCTTTTGGATAAACAGAATTCAAATGGATGACTTATTAAAAATCTTACGGTATTTATGAAAGAAGATGAAGAAGGGGAGGGGACTTTTGGTGTGGCCAGTAAAGAAATTACACTTTATGGCATGTAACTTTTACAAGTTTTATTGTGTTTCTTACACACTTTGTCTTAGCAGCGCAAAAATATTCCACACAACCAACGGAGTCCAAAGCACACGCAAAATCACCCCCAAGTTTCTGAAGAAGCCAAAATAAAACCTTGTCAAATATGTTACCTGACTTGGTCTTTGGGGTGACATTAAGAGAAACCACACATCGTTAAGCAGCCCTGCATACAATGACACAACAAATTTGTTCATCTCTTGTGTCCTGCATGCTAAACATTTGACCCATCCAACAAAAATATAAAGGTGAATATATGAAGCAATTTAAAAAAAAAAAGCTTTGAATATAAGCAATAAAAACTATACTGTCTTGTACATCTTTATGGTTATAAATACCCAATTATTAGCACAGACGCATTGTGATTAAATGCTTCCTGGCTCCATTTAAAGCTCATAATGGCAGAGTCATCACAGTAACAGCATTTAGGACAAAGCCATATTCTTCATACTGAAGGGAAAGCATTGACAAAATCAAATATTTAAAAATAAAACTGTATTAAAATCGTTTTTACAGTAAAAGACACAAACACAAATTATACTGTGCTTTAAAATAGATCCATATTTCTGTATTGAAAATAAAGATTATAAATCACGGTTTTAATTGCAAAAGATGTTACACACTTAACAAGGATTGTGCAAATATTCACATACAACAAAACACACGGTTTAAACATTTCAAGCAACGTCTCTTCACTGTGCAAATGTTAAAATACATTTGAAAGTAACTGCTCTTTGACTACAGAGTTTGTATTTTAAGCTAATAATACTGGAGTGTAAACATGTGAAGAAAAGACTTGTGTCTGAAAACACACAAAGTCTTGAGCTTTAGCAAACTATGAAATAAATCACTGGATCTTCTTTACACTTGGTTTTAAAACCAGTCTCGGCTCAGTCCAAGTTTAAATGTGATAAATGTTCTATTTTTTAATAATTATCATAAACCTGACATGTGTTTAAAAAACTAAAACAAACAAACAAACAAACAAAAAACATGATTTAACAGTTTAGTTATCAAAAAGAAAACATATCACAAAACAAACTGATCTCTGCAACCCTGCTGACACCCCCTCCACACCCACTATCACTTTACTTTAGTTGACTCACTTCCATGTTTGCTTTATTTAATTGCTCTGGAGATTTAGGAATGCCTGCTAATGTAAACAGGAGATGATAGCACAACTCTGTTTAGGCAGAGCAGAAGTGTTGCAAAATATGAAGGTGGGATATATTAAGTTTTGTTTGTTTTTTTTAAAAGAAGAAGCTTTGCTGAATTTTCTTCTCTTTAGGAGATTAGTATGTTAACTCTAATATATATGTTTGTGTCAAATTATTCACAGAAGCATGGTTACATAGAAAAGTGTCCTATGTTTCAGTTCATTGAAAGCATCACCCTTTTAGTGGCTATACAACAGGAACAAAGACAAAGATAAAGCTGCTGTGATAAGCTGAAATGAAAACTGGCCAACATGCCACCTGACTGGACTCTAATGGATCACCTTTGATGCAATTTAAAGAGAAATATTGTATTGATCCACTGTGAGGCTTCTACTATTTAAATTTAAATCAATGCAGGCAGTGATGGGTAATAAAATATTTAACTTTATGTTTGGTTCATTCAAACTATTTAGTGCCATTTGAGTCCCCATGACAGAATCTATGTATTTTGTATAAAACGGTCAAATAATTATTTCTAAAAGCTTTCTTTATGCCTTTAACCCTCTTCTACCATAGAAACAACCATATGTGTCCACAAATATTTCTTTTTACAGTAATCACTGACTTTTAGCACAAGTAGCTTGAGCTGCTATGTCCCCAAATTGTGTCTTTGTTCAAGTTTAGTTATGGTTTTCAAGATTATTGTTACATATCCTTATTTATAATCTTCAGATGCTTTTTTGTTTGTTTGGTGTTTTTTGCTATTAATACATCTTTTACTGCCTAAAGTCTTTGCCTGTCCCTCAGTTACTCTCATGGAAATCACTGATTTTCAGCACAACTTACACAGGACTTACAGGCACTAGTATTGTTTTTAGCTCGCACAGCTCAGCAGCAGCAGCAGGAGCATCAGAAGAAGCAAAAACACCAAGACCCTGATACAGCGGCTGAGTGAATGTGGTCTGAACTCTGTGGAGGAGATTCACCGTGTCAGAGACGCTGTAAAAGGACAAAATACCTCCACTGTGATCCAGGTACATGCCTATTCTTGAGGACTGAGGGCCTCTGATTAAAGTGCTGGTGGCATTGTGTCTGAACTGATAACTGTTATGAAAACACTCTAAAGCCCAGGATTTGTCATCATTTCCAAATCCACTTTCATACCCTGTTCTTCTGATATCTTTGTAGGTAACCGCTATTGAAACTTCAAATGACTTCTTCTCCACCTCCCAGTAATGACGTCCACTCAGGCTCTCTCTGCTCAGGACCTGAAACATGTCAGTGAATCTGTCTTGATGACTGGGATATAACTGTTTTTCACTCATCACAGTTGCTTTTCTGTTCCCTTCAGATAGTGACAAGTGTGTGTTTGCTGTGTTTGGATCCAGTGTGAGTACTTGTGAGTGTTGTAAACATTCTGCTCGGGTCTTAGGCTCTCCTGATGGTACTGAAACACTAACTTCTTTCTCTATCAGTGAAATTTTGGTGGAAGTATCGGTAAAAATCGTGTGTAGTTTTTCTTTGGCCTTGTGCGCAGCTAGTGTCACGTCCTCGAAGTACTGCAGAAGATGCATGTTAATCCTGCGTGGGTCGGTTCCCTGATTTATGCATGTCAAAGAGGAGTAATTTTGAATAAAAGTTGCATGATCTTTTCTATGTGACAGCTGCTCAAGCTCAGCATCTCTCCTCCTCAGCCACCTGAGCTCCTGCTGCAGCTTGGCTCGAAGCTCTTTGGCTCGACTGACTTTTGTCTTCTGCTGGGATTTAATCTGCAACTTCACATCAGACCTCATGTTGTTGATAAGATGAAGCAACTGAGTAAAGATCTCCTCACTTTCCTTGAGAGCCTTATCAGCAGAATAATTGATGGCATCCATCTCATGCTGAAGCACCTTCATATCATTCTCTCTGTCCTGGAGTCTCTTTTTAATCTTTTGTTGACTTGAAACAAGCTCCTCCTCCCATTTACTGCGTTCTTCCGAGGCCAAGATCATGCCGTGGTGTTTGTGTTCATACACTGCGCAGAGAAGGCAGGTACACTTCTGGTCTGTGCGGCAGAAAAGCTTCAAATCTTTACCGTGACAAGAGCAGATGTTCCCCTGGAGCTTCCCTGATTGTTTGATGAGCGTGTGTTTTTTATAGGCAGGGGATTCATAGTGAGGGTGGAAGTGTTGCCCACAGTAAGAGACCAGACGCTCCAGACAGGATTTGGTAGCTTTCAGCTTCCTCCCAGAGCAGACATCAAAGGTCACATCTCCAGGTCCAGCGTAGCAGTGATCAGCTTGGAGTTCAGTCGTCTGCAGCTCTTCCACTAACTCTGCCAAGACAGTGTTTTTCACCAGAGCAGGCCTCGGTGTGAAGGTCTGTCTGCACTGAGGGCAGCTGTGGGTTTTCTTGTGATCTTCCTCATCCCAGTGATGTTTAACACAGTTTGTACAGTAGCTGTGTCCACAGGGAATAGTCACCGGATCCTTCAGCAGATCCAAACAGATCGAACAGCAGAGCTTTTTCTTCTCTACTTGAATATGTTGCTGCTCCATTTCACGAAGAGACACAGAATGTGAAACAGTTTCCCTTTCTTATGCACACACCAACGTGCACAGACAGATAGGCACACACACGTAGAAAATACAGACCAAAGCTTAGTTCTCCTTTGTCATGTGCCTCTGCTTCTCTGAAATGAATGAACATTTATATGTTCATGTTTCCAACACCCAGCCCCTTTCCACCAGTGCAGTAAGAGGCAGGAAGTTGCAGACATGAAAGCTGTGGGGGAGGCTGTAACAGGAATCCGGAGATGACTAAGGAGTTAGTCACATCCATTTCCTGGAAGGGACCGCATGTGTTTACATTCCTGCCGCATAAAATTAATTCATCATGTTTGTTTTCATTTTTTGCAATACACTTTATCCTTTTATAGAAGCTGTTCAAGTTTGCCAATGATGCCTAAACACTCCAGTCAGGAGTTATGTCAGACTTACATGAATATTGCCATGATATCATGTTTTACTTTTGCCACGTGTGGCACAGTGTGATGGGCTCGAATAATCCATTTGAACCCTTATGAACTCACTGCCCATTTAATTGTTATGTTAATGCTACACTAGATGTAGATTAATCTCACAGCCTGTCAGCCATATCAAACTATTCTAAAATAAACTTTAAGCTATTTGACTCCACACAGGAGTGCCCTATTTAGGGGGAAATTGGGACAATATTAAGGCCCTGTGACTGACAAAAGCCCCCAAATAATGATAGAAATTTAGATTATTAAGAAACATTACACCCTCCGATGCACTCCAGTGAAAAAGTATTTGACACCTTCCTGATTTCTTGGATCTTCTTAGCTCTTCAAGGCAATTTTAATATTAGTCAAATATAACCCAAGTAAATACAGAATGCAGTTTTTAAATGATAATTAAATTTTTTAAGGGAGACACCTACCTAAACACTTACCTGACCATGTGTGGAAAAAGTAATTGTCCCTCTTGTTAAATCGTGGATTCACTGTGATTAGCTACAGTTCCATTCATACACAGGCCTGATTACTGCCAGGCCTGATAAATCAAGAAATCAGTGAAGTAGACTAAAAGATCTCAAAAAGCAACACATCCTGCCATGATCTAAAGAAAGAGCTAAGAAATAAAATCATTGAGGTTTATTAGTTCTGGAAAGGGTTGCAAAGCAATTTCTAAGGGTTTGGGACTTCAGCGAACCTTGGTGAGAAAATTTATAACAATGATGAACCTTCCCGGGAAAGGCCAGTCTACAAAAAAACCTCAAAAAGCACATCAATGACTCATCCGGGAGGTCAACAAAGAACCCAGAACAGCATCTAAGGAACTGCAGTCCTCACTTGCTTCACTTAAGGTCAGTGTTCATGTTTCAATAACTCAATAACTAACAAATAAGAAAGAGACTGGGCAAAAATGGCATCCATGGGAGAGTGAAATTCGCTGCTTACCAAAAAGAACACAATTATTTTAAAAAATAAATCTTGATGATCTCCAAGACTTAAAATATTCTGTGGACGACTGACAGGCCAAAATTTGAACTTTGGGAGGTTTTATGTCCCGTTACTTCTGGCATTAAAAACAATAGAGCATCATAACAGCAAACATGTTGGTGGTATTGTGATGGCCTGGGGCTGCTTTCCTGCTTCAAGACCTGGATGACTTCCCATAACTAATGGAACCATAAATTCTGCTCTCTACCAAAAACTCCTGAAGAAAAGCTTCTGACCATCACTTCCTGAAGTGCAGTAGGGTTCTACAACATTACAATGATCCAAAATACACCAGCATGTCTGCCTCTGAATGTAAACATAAATTAAAAAAGAAAAAGTTTGGAGTAGCACCATGTGAGGGATTATAACCATATTTTCATTATGCTTCCACAATGACAATAAAGACTCTTGAATGTGGTGCATAAAATGAAAAGAAAGTAAAACATGACAGAGAAAAGAATCAAGTCCTTATTAAACAGCTATCTTGAAATACTGCTGTGCTCTTATTGGGCAGTTCTTCTTCTTCTTCTTGTTTTTACTTAAATTCATGGATCTTCCAAGTTCTTACATAGATTTTAATTCAGCTTGTTGAGTCATGTCTCTGCCTTATAAAGGCTTCATCTAGTATTGACAAAGAAAGAGAAGTGAGTGGTCCTAAGTGAAAATGCTGATTGTGAAAGCACTTGGCTTTCTTTGTGCGATGACGGAGGCACAGAAGTCCACCCCC